GAGTATATAAGGTTAGAAATCAAGGGAGAACATATGACGTATCCGAGAAAGGTGCTTATCTGAGTACAAACGTCCGCCCGCTCCTGATCTATACGCTTGGGTCTATGGTCCTCGTGTTTGATCTGTTCTTTCTCATATTTTAGATCTTTGGTCTCTATGGTTATACCTTTTATATGTCTGTCAAGTTTCATCAACACACACACACACACACACACACGCACACACACACGCACACACGCACACGCACACTAATTATGTCCCACACTTACAAAGCAACAAAGGGGGATGAGGATTAGCAGCGATAATTGACAAAATGTGATTGAATAAACAATTCCCCCCTCCCCACGCCCAGACACAGCGCAAACCCCCTCACCCCTACCCGCCACCCTATCCCGACCCGCCTGGTCCATAGTAGCGTCTCACCCGAGCACACCACCACAACAACAACAGCGCAAGGGATACAGCACCCCTGACGTCACTACAACATACTGTATGTTAGAAATTCTGATTTTTAACATATAATAAACGAAGAATACATTTTACATAACAAAGTGTAATACATTTTAACGTAATAAGAGAAGAAAACATATTAACATAACTAAGAATAATGCAGAGAAGAATACTTAATACACACAGAAAAAGATGAAGTGAGGTGTCGACAGTTATTATTCATTATTTTCTTCACTCTAAAGTTCAGGAAAGTGAGTCCAATAATGCCCAGTCTCCCACGGCTTAATAAGTAACTCGTATTGATGAGATGTAATTAAGAGAAGGTGGTTATTAGGAGGTAATGTTATGTTATGGGACGCTAATGTTGAGGCTGTGGCCATCTGGCGCCCTTAACCCTTCCTCTGCCTTGCGAGATGTGAGCTTGTTGAGTGAGGGGAGGTCCTGTCGCTTCCTGCTGCCAAACACTCGCTTATACCCGTTGTTACACACCTTACGCTTGCTGCTACACCCACTGTTATACATACACTATACGTCTACCACTACACCTTTTCGTCACCGCACTTCATACGTTCCGTTACCACACTCTACATTTGGTTCCTTCATGTGAATTAGAGAGATGTGTCACATATTGAATAGATACAGTGCACGTATGAAACACACAGATGACATACACATTGGTAAGATGCATACAAAAGGAAAGAATAGGTGGGAGGTGAGACATTCATGTGAGATATCGGTGACACGCAGGCGTACCACAATGACATGCATAAGTGAGATACATAAGTGAAAAACGTAGGTACGACACGTGAGATACCCTTAGGCGGCTCCGGAATTAGCTGGAAAGATCAAGGTGTTCATCATCATCTTGCGTTACCGTTACGGCAAGTAAGGAAACTAGACCTGGCCTTCATCACGGAGACGTACAAAGGGACCCTGCGCTTTGAGACTCCCTAATTCCCGAAACCTCGCCTCATCTTGTCTAAACTAACCTAATCTTAAACTGACCAAATTAGAGGTAATTCAAGCTAATCTAAGCTAATTCAACCTAACCTAATCAACTCAAACTTCCCCTAACCTAACCTAAACTAACCTAACTTCCCTTTAACTTAACTTAACCTAACTTAACTTGACCGAATCCGCGATAGTACAATGATTTATTTTTTTACCTTTTCCGTCTCGTAAAGAATGGAGACACAATCTATCGAGTACGATGACTTAATCTCTTCACTGCGATGACTTTATCCCTTGAGTTCGATGACTTAATCCATTATAATCATGGAGTTAATGACAACCAAACACCATCATACTTTCTCCAGGATCTCCAATAGCTGTCTTAACTAATCTCAGCTTATGCTATAACTCACACTGTAGTATGAGACAAGAGTTGCAGAGGAATGAGTAAATGTTTAATCACTTGTTAACTGAACTTGAGTTAGAGAGAGAGAGAGAGAGAGAGAGAGAGAGAGAGAGAGAGAGAGAGAGAGAGAGAGAGAGAGAATTAAAAACAAATGAATAAGAGGGTGAATGGAGACAGTGCAAGAGAGACAGAGAGAGAGAGAGAGAGTAGCCACCACCAACTTGCCTCCCCGCATCTAGTGACATCCGCCTGTCACAAACTTCCCGCCTGGAATGCTACTCTATCGCCTACCATCACCACAATGACAGTCCAGCCTCAGGTACAATATTACATCAGTGATCCCTACTATCTACCTGGTGTGAAGCTCAGTTGACCCCAGTAGTCAGCATTTCGTAATAGAATAGCAAGGTTGGTTGATCATAATAATCAATAAATTGTAAAGGAAAAAGGCGTGATTGAAGTTAACATAATGTAAATAACCGGTTGAAGAGTGAACCCGCAGTAGTGAGGAAGAAGGAAAGAGAAGGGGAAGGTGAGCGTGAGGGAAAAGAAGGGTAGTATGAGGAAGGAGAAGGTGAGCGTGAGGGAAAAGAAGGGTAGTATGAGGAAGGAGAAGGTGAGCGTGAGGGAAAAGAAGGGTAGTATGAGGAAGGAGGGCAAGGAGGAGGAAGAGTTGAGCGTGAGGGAAGAGAAGGGTAGTAAGAGGAAGGAGGAGGAAGAGTTGAGCGTGAGGGAAGATAAGGGTAGTATGAGGAAAGAGGAGGAGGTAAGCGTGAGGGAGAAAGTGGCGAGTGTGAGGAAGAGGAATTAGAGAGTAGAAGAGGTTTGTGTGAGGAAGGAAGAGGTTAATTGGAGACAAGAGGAAGATTAGGTGAGGGAGAAAGAAAGAGATATAAGAGAAAAGCTGTAGGGGTACAATAATAGAGGGGGTGGGGGAAAGGGTAGGGGTAAGCATAGGGATTGAGGGGGGAGAGGAGGATGGGGGAGAGAGGGGCGAAGGGGTAGGAGGGTAGGGGAAGAAAATGAGGAGGGAGAGGGGGAGAGAAAGGGGTAGAGAGACTGGTTGAAAGGGAGGGAAGAGGTAAAAAGAAGAGGAAGTGGGAGGGAAGGGGGGTATGTGAGGGGCTGAGGGAGAAGGGTATAGAGAGGGGTTGAGGGGGAAAAGGAGGGAGAAGCAGCAGAGAGGGAGGGGAAGGGAGAAGTAAAGGGGTAGAGAGAGGGATAGGGGAGAGGGAGGAGGGGGGGGGGGAGGAGTGCACTACCACCCTGAAATAGAAAAATAAAGATTGAGGGGGAAATCTGAATAAATGTTGATATATTGTTGTGGAGGCAGAAAGATACACGTATTGATACAAACAAAATATAATGCAGGAATCCTACCTCTACACACTTAATACATAATACAAAATACATACTGTAGATAACTTATTGTAATGGAGACGTAATATTTAAGTAATTGTTTGTGGAGATGTAATTCTTATGTGATTATCTGTGACGAAGACAAAGCACTTAAATAATTGTTTCAGGAGGAGGCATAGCATTTACTCCTTTAAATCCTGAAGGGTTAAACCATCGTCGTCAAAAAGTTAAACCATCGTCGTCAAAGAGTTAAACCATCGTCGTCAAAGGGTTAAATAATTGTTTGTGAATGAAGCATAGCACTTAAATAATTGTTTGTGAAGGAGGCATAGCACTTAAATAATTGTTTGTGGAGGAGGCATAGCACTTTGTTGAGGGTGTAGTGGTGTTGGAGCATGTCCAAGTGAGGCAACAAAAATTTCCCTAGTCAAGTACTGTTTCCTAGGTGGTTCTTCCCCTTAAAAACTTTACTGGGGAAATTAATGATTACTTTTGTGTGTGGGGGTAGGTGTGAGGGAGGGTGGGTGTGTGAAGGATGAGATGGGTGTGTGAAGGATGAGATGGGTGTGTGAGGGATGAGATGGGTGAGGGAGGGTGTGTGTGTGTGTGTGTGTGAGGGAGGATATGGGTGTGTGGAGTGTGTGAGGGAGGAGATGTGTGTGTGAAGGAGGATGTGAGGTGTGTGAGGGGAGGAGTGTGTGTGGAGGGAGGAGATGGGTGTGTAAAGGGAGGATGTGAGTGTTTGAGGGAGGAGATGGGTGTGAGAGAGGTGTGTGTGTGGGAGGGAGGAGATGGGTGTGTAAAGGAGGATGTGAGTGTGTGGAGGGGAGAGATGGGTGTGTGAGAGGGTGTGTGGAGGGAGAGGTGTGTGTGAGGGAGGAGGTGTGTGTGGGAGGGAGGAGGTGTGAGGGAGGAGATGGTGTGTGAGGGAGGGGTGTGTGTGGGAGGGAGGAGGTGTGTGTGTGAGGGAGGAGATGTGTGTGTGAGGGAGGAGGTGGGTGTGTGTGAGGGAGGAGGTGTGTGTGTGAGGGAGGAGATGGTGTGTGAGAGAGGGGTGTGTGTGTGTGTGTGTGAGGGAGGAGGTGTGTGTGTGAGGGAGGGTGTGTGTGTGTGTGTGTGAGGGAGGAGGTGTGTGTGTTGGGGAAAGGGGTGAGTATGAGGGTAGGTGTGAGGGAGGGAGGTGGGTGTGCTAGGGAAATGGGTGAATGTGAAGGAGAGATTTGAGGGAGTGGGTGAGTGTGAGGCAGGAACTAGGTGTGGTGTGTGTCGGGTGTACGGAGTATTAGTGTTGACGGTAAACATTTCACGCAAATATCTTCATTGATAAGGTCGCCTTTTATCGCCTCACACACGTTGCACTGTACCTCCGCTATTTCCCGAAAAAAATAAGAGAGAATGAGCTGAATTACTAAAAGCTAAAATGCCTTGATTATTTTACATCACAAATATCCCGAGATGTAATAAACGTAGCATTCGTAGTATCGCAGGTGAAGTGAGCATTCCAGTATACGGTGTAAGCTAATGCATCATTGATGTCGCCACCCGCTACCACCACTGCCAAGCCGCACCCGCTACCAACACTTCCCCGCGCTTTCCCGCTCTAGTGTGGCTTTTATCTCTCATATATCGCTTCCAAGCACAAACAACTAGTTACATACACAACAAAGAATTCAACTTTTAAGAAAACTTCTCGTTATTGTGTCAGTAGAGACATCTCAGAATGCAGCAAGGGCTAGAACTGCTCAGGAAGACAGGGCACTTCTATGAACTCGGGGACACCACACAGTAATTTACTCATATGAACTAACACAAGACAAGAGGAAACTTAACTTACCTCAGCTAGAAGTCTATTCCCGAAACTTGCCTGAGCGGGTGAGCGACTTCCGCACACTAAGCGTCCCCTCCCTGGAGTGAGTCAGAGGGAAGGCAGGAGGTGGTTCCCTCAACGCGCAGGTGTGGTGCTCACCTGGCAGCCCGCCCCTCACCAAGTACTGTCGAGTAAAGTGTGTGTGTGTGTGTATGTTTTTGTGGAATTTTGTGGGTGGTGTATGTGTGTGGGTAGATATGTGCGTCTGTATGTGTGGGATTGACAGGAATGTGGATATGTAATTATGTATGGGGATGAGGTGGGTTGTGTAGGGATGAGGGAGATTGTTACTGTATTTGTGTATGGAGGTGAGGGAGTGTATATTTGGATAAGTGTGTGTGTATTTGTGTTTGACAAGTGAAGGATGTGTATACATTTGTGTAGCAGGTGATGATGGTGTATACCTAGGTGTAGGGGTTGACGGGAGTGAGTATTGGTGTGCGTGGAGGATGAAAGGTGTATTTGTGTTTGAAGGGTGATGGGGTGATGTACTGTATGTGTGTAGGAGGCAAATTTCTATACGCATATGTGTGACTATATTTACATAGTTCATCACTTGTGTGTGTGTGTGTGTGTGTGTGTTGAAGAATATTAATTATATCCCTGTCTTTAATCTTGGTAACGCAAAATACAGTACAGACAAAACGTTCGTCAAGAAATAAATACCCACCATCTGTAACAGAAAGTGGTAGTAAAGGAATGTTTGCTGGTCTGAGTGTAGTGGTCCTGGCCAATTATTATGGGCCGTGGTGATTCTCTCGTAACTTAGGGATACGCAGAGATAAATCGATGTCCAGGTGATGTAAGCAATCCGTCGCATATTGCAATACAACACCCTCACTAACCACAGACTGCTCTGAATTTTATTCCACACGACTTTAATCTAAAACTTGCCTTGCGTACACTCTTCCATACGATGCATTATTCCAACCCTTCCTCCCCCACATTACAAACACAGCCGACCACACCTACGTTCTCTATGTCTCCCTTTCGTTCATGTATCCCTGACCATTATTATCGAGTTACAATCTCTCTGTTTCAGTGTTTTTCTTTGACTTAGTCGCATTCAGGATCGTCACGTCCTATTTACTCTTCTCCAACATATTCCAAAATTCATTATCCCCATTGAGTTCATTCAACGCAAACACTCTGAATACCCCTTCGCGTTTTTCTACCTAGAAACAGGCATTGAGAGAGAGAGAGAGAGAGAGAGAGAGAGAGAGAGAGAGAGATGAAAAAAAAAATGTTTCGTCTACTGGTTTCGCCCACATAACGCGCTAGCTGATGTGGCAGAGGTAGTTCTTAGGTCACGTACAATATTCTATGACACGGTGGTTGCAACACACCTTATTCGCTTCGGATTCAGGTAAACTATCGGTCAGTGTGTGTAGTGCCTGCCTCCTTTATTGTGTTGACGGCATACAAGGGAGGAGCCATTGCAACTCAGCCACTAGTCTCCTGTGTACGTGCATGACTCGGGACCTGTAGCGCCATTGATGATACCCCACTAAAGGTACACATGACCTGGAACCACTATCGGTATTCATCCCCATCCCTCGTCCACGACCTTGCACATGAGCCAGTACCTGTAGTGTCACCCTCCTATCCTCCCCCACCCCCCCAACATTCACTCACCTCACTCGCACCAAACATGACCTCATAACACTGACGGCTATACTCAGACTCGAACTCTATTTTACTAACTTTCCCTTTAACATACGTCGCATGACTAGTCTCTGATTAGCTGATGTATGTATCCAGTTTATCAGTGATGTTTATAGTATCTAGTTTACAAACAAAGCGTAACGCGAGGTCATCGTCCAGATACGTCCAGCGATAGCCTCCAACCCAATTGTCCCTCGTCCGAGCACGTTGATCGATGGCTTCGAACCAAACTGCCCTTCGTCCGAACACGACGAACGATGGCTCCAAACACAAAGTGGCCATCGTCCGAACATGGCGTGGGTTGTCGCACCAGCTCGGGCTGTTAAATGATTATAGGATTACTGCAGAGTGGACGAGACGGCCGTGTCAGGTGAGTTTTAAAGACGATAGGTAATTGGTAGGTGTGAGCGGACGTCCTCTAGAGTACAGAGCAACCCAGAAATGGAAACTAGATGACCACACACTAGTCGGTGAGTGACCACACACAGGGTGGTGGGTCACCACTCACTAAATAGTGAGTGGCCGCATACTAGGTGGTGAGTGATCACACACTAGATGGTGAATGACTACACAAACTAGATGGTGAGTGACCGCACACACTTGGTTGTGAGTGACTACACATAGGTAGTTATTGACCACACACTAGGTGGTAATTGACTACACATAATGTAGTAAGTGACCACATACTAGGTGGTGTGTAATCACACACTAGATCGTGGGTGACGAAATATTAGGTGGTGAGTGACCACACACTTGATGGTAAGTTACCACATTCTTAATGGCGGTGACATTAAGTGATGCTGTCATACTAGGTGGTGACAAACCAAACACCAGGTTGTGAGTAACAACATTACGCGAGATTTTCTACAGTAATAGTGACGCCTGGCGGGGGTTGGCTGCTACTATGAAAAAAAAAAATCACCGTATGTATCGGTCAGTTTCTGTAATAGTTTATCCTTTATTATTTAACGAATATCCATGCTGAACAAAACCCTGGCTACAGTGTTTATTCCTCTCACACCTTAAAAAGATAAAAATTCAGTACATGATGAATTGGTCTTTTCCGCGGATGCTTTTGTAAGGGACTAGGGAAAGTTACATAAGATGCTCGGCAAGTATCTAAGTCCTTCATTGAAGTTTTAAATCAAACGTAATAGCTGAAACTAAACATGGATTTAATTTATTTTTCAATGAGATTCATTGATCATTAGATGGTTGGAAATTGTGACAGCCTGATTTATATACCTGGCTGTTTGGGTGTTCCCTGATGTGTGTGTGTGTGTGTGTTTATGTGTGTGTGTGTGTGTGTGCGTGGGGGGGGTTCGAAAGTGTGGTGAAAGTGGTGTAGTGGCGGGTCTCGGTGTGTTTGTCCGAGGGATGTGGCAGCGAGATATAGTCAGGGAGTGTGGTAGGTTGATATGTCGACGAGATGTGAACACGGGGATGTGCCAAGTATGTTTATCAGTGGGATGTGAAAAGTGGAATGTGGCAAGGGGTGTATGTTGGTTGGAAGTGACTAGGTGTGGTGGAGAAGGGTGTGGAAGTGGGATGCTACAGCGAGATGGTAGCGAGAGAGTAGTGGCGATTATGTGTCAAGGGGTGTGGTAGAGTTGGATGTGGCGGAAAGGTGTGGTAGAGAAGTGTGGCGGCAGCTTGAGGTAGTCGTCACGCCCTGTCTGTCTCGCTCTCAGATACAAAATTGATGTAACTGGGCCTCCCGCCGGCCTTGACCACCTAGAAAATATCATTCAAATGTCATCACGCGAGTTACTACGCCACTTATTTTTTACTTCGAATTTTTAATCATTCTAGCTATGTGAGAGGCTAAATATCCTAAGTGCGAGAGTTCTATGTTAGGAAAAAAGCATGCACTGACATAACAGAATTGAGTAAGATAGCGGCTGAATTACTTGTACGCGAGTAAATATGATTAAGTCTACGGGTGATGGACACCTGGTTTCACTAAGAAGTGCATTTCCTGAAGGGTGGTTTTACGGCAGCAGCGATTTTACCAATTACTCTGGGAGTAGCTTATTTTTTTCACGTCTCAAAGAAAGAAAAAATAATGAAACGAATACCTAATGCTGGTTCAAATGAATTTAGAATAGTTTAGACATTTTGATTGTTTAGAGGACCTCAGGCTTTGCTTCTTGAGGAATGTATGCATTTCTGCTTCAGACAGTAGTGAGAAAATTAAAGTAAAAACAGCGCATTTATTCTCAATTAGATCATTTCTTGATGACATCAATGTAATTAAAAAAAATTAAAAATAAATAATGTCAATTTACTAACGCTGATATGTATCCAAAGACTACTGTGCAATGATACGCAGGTGTTGTACTAATGTTCGTCACCCTCCCCACTCCCCACACCCGATGGCTTCCCTACACCTTGATACACGGAATCAAGGTGAAACAGGCAGGCGGGTTACTAGCCAGGCTGAAACACTGTCATCAACACCTGGCGAAAAGCGGCACATGTGTTCCACGATGGCACTATTTCACCTGGTACCGATCTAATAGAGCTGCAGATAGAAGTACTCAAAATCGATAGTCAACACCGTCCACCACGACGAAAATCTTGTCTCAGTATGGATTTTTGATAGGAAAAAATAGGTAATTTTATTCCTGGCAGCAAAGGATCAACTGCTAGTGACCATTAACAAAGTTTAAGTACAAGACAAATTGTAACGCAGAACGGAATCGAGGCCAGGGAGCATAGTTCAAGTTGTTTATTTATGTTTCCAATACTTGGTTTGCGTGATGCATGATTAATACTGTGGCGACTTGAAGACTGCCCCCACAGTGCATCTACAAGTGTAAGGTCTTCTGTTTCCGCCGCCAGAGTGATTTATTTGATTTATATAGTTGGTAAAAAGATAAGGGGAATATTGATTGATTGAAGCTACTCCCTATACTATGGTTAGGTTCATTCATTCAAACATATATACTGACACACACACACACACACACTTCCCTCAGCCTTCATAGGGTAAGGACGTGTGTAGTCGGCGCTGCTCGCTCACGCGGCCCTCCCCTCCCCCATCTCCTCCTTCCCATCTGAATTTATCAACATCCTCACACCAACAGTGCAGTGCAAAGATTGACGATTAACCCACAAGTGATATACAAAAGTGGCAATTTCAACTCGAAGGAAAAGCACAAAAACACAGCAATACTGATTGTGGCTGGATCTGACCTGACCTCACGGCTTCACCTGACCAAACCTGAAGGATGGAGCACACCTGCATTGCCCCAAGCTACTGTCCTGGCCACGTGGCCACACACCTGCCCAACCGCATCCAGCCCATACGAGCACGAACTGATTGCTACAAGAACAGCGCAGTCCCAACCTTTGTAAAAATCATCAACACCTAATTATTATATATCATATTTGTATCACTTATGTTACTTGT